ATAAAGCTATTTAAGTTTCTTTTATCCAAATTTGTTTAAATTTCCTCATAATATTGCACATCATATATCAAAATTTCTTTGAATTTGATTTAAGCAAGTGAAAAAGTTAACAATATATACTGAGTAACACATATAAAAAAGTATTGTTGTAAAACAAAATGTGCATTATATAAAATAGTACAGTGCATCGTAATACGTTGTTATGTACATGAAAAAGAATAAGTAAAAAAGAATTTAAAAGGAAACAGTAAAAACTTTTATATATATGAGCAAATACATATTCAAAAATATACAAGAGTACCAAGTGTACCAAAAACAATTAGAAATCGTAAAACGAATTTCAGTATAAATGAAATCCAAAATAAAATCCATGAATGTATAAATGAATAAAAATAAATTGAAAATAAATTAATAGAGAAAGCCCTCACTAAAATCCATAGAGGAAGACGGTTGAGATGTAAAAATCAACCACGATAAGGAAAGTAATCATCGTATTGATATTTGTGAACAGTGAAAACCATAAAGGAAAGTAAACCAACCTATCGCAAGACTAATAAAACGGAAATAATAATAAAAGGACATGAATAGCCTTCAACAAATGAAATCGTATGAGGCTAATAATAGATAATCTAACAGTTGATATATATTCTTTTTTCTCTCCTACGATCAAATTCTCACATGATCCTAAATCTATACATGTGCATACATACATACATACATACATACATACATACATACATACATACATACATATGTATATGTGTACATATATATATATATATATGTGTGTGTGTGTGTGTGTGTGTGTGTGTGTGTGTGTGTGTGTATAGTGCGGTTCCAATGAGAACGATGTTTAATGAGAGAACGTGAGAACACTCACTAGAACCCCAATTTTGAATAATTACACAAAGGACCCCATGTGCATCATACCAATGAATGAATAAAATGAAAGGATGTGATCAAGAGTTCTCATAATAATGAGTTCTCATTTTAGGAGGGGTTCTCACTCGAATTCTCCCCTGTATATAGGGATGGACTCGGACTGGGTGGCCCGACCCGAAACCGCCCCGGGATCGGCACTGTTCCGGCCCGACCCGAACCGGTGGCCCAGTTAGTGACCGGTCCAGGTAGGCCCGACCCGAGGGGTTTCCGGTCCGAGCTCGGGTCACCCAAAACAAGGCCCGGCCCGGTTCGGGCCAAATTGAATTTTTTTTGTTTTTTTTTCATTTTTTTGGGCTCCATCCGGGTTGGGCTTGATGTTTAGGAGGGGTTTGGGGGGTGGGGGTGAGGGGGTCAAGTAGGCATGGATCGGTTCCGGTTCGGGCCCAGTTCGGGCCTGGGCCCAGCCGGGGCTCGGTTCAAGAACGGGAGGCCCGGAACCGACCCGAGTAACCCCCGGGTCCAGGCCGGGCCGGGCCTTGGTTCTAATTTTTTTTTTTTTTTGGCTTTTCCTAGTTAACCCTCAACCCTCCCCCAAACCAACCCTAACCACCTCAAATGGCCCAAAATACCCAGCCCAACCCAAAGCCTTAAAAAAAATCAAAAAAAAAAATAGGCCAGGCCCGGGCCTGGACCGGCCGGGCCGGTTCACCTTTTGAATGGCCCGAGCCCGAACCGCCATCCCACCGGGCCTAGAACCGGTTCACCGAGCCAGGCCGGGCCCGCACAGTAGCGGGCCGGTCCGGTTACCGGCCGGTTGGCCTGGCCCGAGTCCACCCCTAGGGTCAAGGATAGGTAGGTAAGCAAAAAAATAATAATAATCAAGCCCAAGGCCCGGACCGACCCCGGTGGCTACTCGGACCGGCCCCGGACCGGACCCGGTGGCTACCCGGGCCGGTCCCGGGTCCACCTATTCAGACCCGCCAGCCCACCCGGGCCTAGGCCTGACCCGGCCCAGCCGGAATCCACCCTTACCAGTATATATATATATAGAGAGAGAGAACACAAAGGACGCACTTTTTCGTGTTCGACATAAATTATTCACAAGAATGCCACCGTCTGGTACACATTTTGACTTTGCTCAAAATAAGCCAATATAAATATTCACGGTGGCATTCTGGTAAATATTATGCCGAACACGAAAAAGTGCATTGAGTGAGTCTCATAGTGCATTACATTGGGGTAAACGTGGTGTTCTCACGTTAAGCATTGTTCTTATTTGATCATATGTGTGTGTGTGTGTGTGTGTGTATATAGGGGATGGTTCAAATATAAAGACTTCTTCCCATGCAAAGTGAGAATGAATCTTGTGCATTCATTTCCACATCTAATGGCTCAAAATGAGCCAAAAATGCACATAATTCGACCAAAATCGCGGTGGCATTTTCGTAAATATGTTGCACTTTTTCGTTACCCGCGAAAAAGTGCAACAGAAACAAGCAAAAGTGCAAGCGAAACATACAAAAGTGCATATCTTCGCACTTTGCACGGGAAGAGGTCTTTTTATTTGAACTCTTCCCTATATATATATATATATATATTGTCATAGTGTTTTTCTATAATTTATTTAAATAAGTTCTTGATAAAAAAAATCCACCCGAAAGCACCACAAATGGAGGTGGCTTTCATGTATGAGAACTTTGGTTCCTGTGAGTTAGAATTTATTGGAACTGGAACCGAGCAGGTCAAATATTATAGGAACCGAACCAAGAAACATAGAAGTCGAAAACTATAGGAACCAAACTGGATAATTCGGTTCGGATCGGTTTTCCCGATTTTCCCGGTGTTAAGGTTCTAAGTCTCAGGCTTAATTGAAAGTGTAATCACATTTGATCTGATTTTTGTTACAATTACAGCTGTTTTTACCCCATCCACCATCATTTTGCAGCGACGGTACACTGTTTGTGTAAAAACCCCATTAAATGCCTCCATCCTTTCCATTTTTTACAGTGACTAGCAAGTCCTTTAATCTCACCTACCAATATGTGAAGTCAAACTAAAAACTTCATTTGGGAATGGAGGGAGCAATGTATGTTAAAACAAATTAAGAACTAAATAAATTACAAGCTAGAGCCGGATAACCGCTGATTAAGCAAACTGATACAAGATTGTGCTAAAGATTTCCCATTCATGCATGCACACACATAATGCATGCAGCACCGGCAGCTTAAGTGGAGCATATCAAAAAAGGAAAGCAACTTCAGACAATCAGCATTTACTAATTTTGCTTTGGAAATAAATTTGCAAACCTCACCCCTCATGTTTCCTGGTGGACGGGAAATATTGCATGACGAAGCTCGAAAGGGACCAAATACAAATCACACCGAGCACTTGTAGGACGTTTAGGAGGGCACCCAGCGATCTGTTTATTGCCAAATTGTGAGGTGTTGTCTCCGCACCTCTTACTGTCAATGAAAGGGCTGTCACCAGTTGTGCTGCCCTGTTTAGTTGGTGCAACCTATATACCTGTACACACAATTTTGGGATGGACTGGAAAAATTAGTCATTATGTAAAAAAAACAAAGTTGCTTATAGAAAAAAACAGGAGAAAATGTCAAATAAACCCTCATATTATATCTGAAAAGTCAATTAAGTCGATGTATTAAATTACACATTCAACCCCTCGAACAATAAGAGAATAGTCAACAACAACGACATCCACACCTTAGTCCCAAAAGAGTTAGGGGTCAGCTAACATGAATGACACATGAAATCGGAAATAAAAAAAATAAGAAAATTAAAATCATCATCATTACCCCAATGCCGCAAAAGCTCCCACCTACAGTGGGGTAAGGGGGGTCGGATGTACGCAGTCTTACCCCTGTACTATAGCACAGAGAGACTGTTTCCAGATGACCCATAGTGAAATTTGCGTCGAAAATTACATGGACTAACTCCTGGTTCATAGCAAAGATGAGCAGACAGTTTAGTGTGCCATTTTGCTTTATTCCATCATATTCCCAAGCCAAAAAATAGTGAGTATTTGGCTCCATGGCAAATGGAAATATAAGAAAGATAAAATAAGATAAAAAATAAGATAAAGACAAAAATAATAAGATAAAAAGGATAAAAGGATCAAGAACATAATTTCTAATATCATTTTCATTTACCCCAGTGCCGCAAAGGCTCCCACCTACGGTGGGGTAAGGGGGGGTCGGATATACGCAGTCTTACTCTAGAGAGACTGTTTCCGGATGACCCATAGTGAAAATCGTGTCCAAGATTGCATGGACTGACTGCTGCTCCATAACAAAGAAGCGCAGACAGTTTAGTGAGTCATTTTGCTTTATTCCATCATAATCTCAAGCCAAAAAATAATGAATCTTTGGCTCCATTGCAAATGATGGAAAAACATAATTTCTAATATAATAAGATAAAAAGGATTAAAGAAGATAAAAATATAAAAGGATAAAAATGTGAAAGGAGATAAAAAATCTATGTCCTGGGACCAAAAGTGGAATATTTTGTAATTCAGTATCTAAAAGAGAGAAAATTATGAAGTTAATTACTCCGTATTATACTCGAAGAGATTTTATACCTGAAAAACAATTGGAATAATAGGCCAAGATGGAGACTTGACATGTCTTGCTTGTTGCTCGAATGCAAACTGCACAATAATACCAACTAGAAACGGTGCAAGTGTAGCAGAAGCTGCTGGGCCCGTCCATGGCCAAACTAGTCCCATCGTCACCATTGGAATTGTTAGGCTTAGAGCCAAGACAGCAACTGAAGAGACTCTATATCCAAATGGTGGTGTAGCATGTTCCTCGCTTGCAGAAGATACCAACTCAAGTGGCCGCATCCTTGCATGATCAATTAGTTGGAGAAATGATGCAACTCCACAGTAAAAGAGAGCCTCCGTGAAAAACAATATAAGGAAATCTGGAGGTAAAAAACCACGGGAAATGTATGAAAACAAAAGATGTGATTTGATTTTAAATGTAGCGAGAAACCATTTTAGTACCACGACTTCAGTGTCCTCAACTTTGGTCCATGACTAAAAAATGGAATGTTATCAATTCACAACCTCAAATATACATGAGCTATCAATCTGGGACCTGAAAGATAAAATGTGTCGGTATAGGGCCCGGATAATTGAAAACTATCAATTTAGGACCTAAGTTGTCATGAATTTTATTCGGTAGTATTTTAAAAAGTTAAAATATTATTTAATTTTATTAAATAAATAAAATTTTGTGAAGAAAAATTGATTAAAAATTAAATAAGTCAAAACCTATGGAGCTTTAGGTCCTAGATTGATAGTTTTCAATCATTCGGGTCAATACGGACAAATTTCACCTTTGATAATTCATTTATCTTACCTGGATTCATAAAATTCCTCAAAAAGTCACGTTTGAAGCATGAGTATTGTTTTTAAAATAAACTATGGTCCTTCCGACCTCATCTCCTTAAAAAATAAGCAAGAGTTTCTCATTATTCCAGAAAAATATGGATCAACTTTCAGCATTAATGTGCTCAAAGCTCAGAAGAACCATTACTGATAGAGACACCAAAACTGATCATTGTAGTCAAGAACCAAAAGGGGCACGGACATTAAAGTTGCAGGATAATTTGTATTTACTCATTTAGAAATTACTCTCTAAACAAATAACGCCTATAAAATAAAACCAAGTTAAAGTACTGGTGATACTGATGGTGAACATTTGAATTCCCATGGCATATACTGACATACACAATTACACACACATCAATTTTTTGTTAAAAAGATAATCCGTTCATCCTACAAAAAGAGTTGTGTTTTAAAAACCTTTTTCATTCCAAAAAAACCTTGTTTCATCAAACACAACTAATATATCACAATATTTTGCCAATACGTTGTCAAAAAAATGTTACGGATAAGTTTAATATGATGGATTACTTGAACTAACAAAGAAGTTCTAAAATGTAGACGTCAATTCAAGATTTTTAAGAGTTGGAATGTGTTATGATGAAATGGCCGTGCCTTGACCAAATAGCAATCATACAGAGTTTTATGTCTTCTGTGAATTCATTATCATAATTGATATTTTCTAGAATAACTCCATGTCAACCGTCTTGTAATTCAAAATTGCAAAAATTTCTTAACACAAAAAAGATAAAAATAACCCAAGCTGAATTGCATTTATATTTGTTGGCAAAACAGCTTCTCAAATGATGATATACATAACAACGTATTCCATTTTTGGCCCCACAACTATTTTTCCACTTTTGGGTTTCTTGCCAGTTTCGATCCTTGAGCAGTTGATAAGTTGCTTGGGACCGTGGGTTGCATATTATCTTGTTTATGTGTTTGGGTTTCATATAAATTCTTGTTTATGCACACAATTTTTAAACCTTACTTCTTATATTTCCATATCTCTATTGTGTGTTTGGGTTTCAAATAAACTCTCGTTTGTGTGTTTGGGTTTCAAATTCTCAACTCCAGTATCCTATATTTCTATTTAGCAGAAGCCTTACGCACTTTTGTTCTTGAAATATGAAAAATAATACATTATATTCCAATGATAGGCTAACTAATTAGCTGTAAATTGTAATTATAATAATGATAGAGGTGTATATGTTGAATATAAACTACACTTATAGGAGTTAATAATGCTTAATAATGTGTTATGTGCAGGCTTAAGAAGGTGTTTAAAACTGAAAAATGATAATTCTAGGACACACTTATGAATCTACGACGGTATGACCTGCAATTTTTTATATCCTAGTCTGACTCATCAGTAGGAAATTCAACATAAGTGATTTTTTTATTTCTTGTGTCCTGGCTCGTTGAGCACTTGAGCTTCTGGTTTCATGATAGATTTTAATATTTTACTGTGTATCATTTAACACGAATCTTTCTGTTAAAAATAGTTTGTTTATTACTTATTGATTTTCGGAACTTGATAACTTTTTACTACTCTTAGACATGGAAATGGGAACCGAAAAACCCACACTGGACCAACCCGTTTCAAAAGGCCCGGGTAAGGTCCGGTTCCTATTTTGAAAATTGCTACACCCGGACCGACACATATAATGGAACCAGCTGTTCTTCAAAACTTATGCATTGCCAGCCCCTACGCGGCCTGTGCCCACCCCTAGTTGAGCATATTCCAAGAAAAATCAATATCGAAACTGGCCGGATGAAGCTCTGGAGGGCAAAAGAATAGCACAAAATAGATATATGTACTCAAAGAGTCCAGCATAAGTTCAACCTACCGGTTAGTAAAGAGTCCTCGAAAATGGTGGCTAGTATTCTTCGTAAATAGAGTGAGGGAAAGATGAAAGAGGCAACAAGGACAGTGGGACCCATAATCCATAACAAATTTCCTTCATTCTTTCCATGATCAGACAAGACCTCAGCTTCTCTTCTCATGTAAGGACGGCTAAAATAAAACGAAATAAAACCAGGTCTTCCTTCAGCCTCAGCAGTTGATGAAACAAGTTCAGAGGACAAGTCTTTGACAAGAAGCTTTGGATTTCCTTTGTCCAAAGCATTTGGTTCATGATCATGGTCCAGTAATTGTGGGTCCTCTGAGGTAGCAAATAAGATGAACCGCGTCTTGGATAAACCCCCATGCATCCTTAGATTTTCATGCATAAGCTTGAATGACCTAACAACTTGCATCAAAATAACTATAAAGAGTTAGTTAAACCTTATGGAAACAAATAAAAGGCGATTGAAATGTTATACAATTTCATATTATTTTAAATCTTTTAAATTATTTGAAATATCACACACATATATGAAAATATAAACTGAGCACTCATAGGCTTCCCCTGCAAAAGCCATCTACCCAAAAATGCCCTAAGTAGAGTTCAGGATCTCAAAAAAATCCCTAGACTGCTAGACACACACAAATTAATACACAATCATTTAACTACCTTCGAAATCAAGCCTGTGACAATTGACAGAACACAATGTAACACCATAATTTCATGCAAAAAAGCATGATGGCAAACTTATATGCCGGTTGTCCTTGCCACAACCTTCTTACGCATAAATAAAGATAATAAAAACTCAAAATGGTCATCATCATATGTTCTTTCCGGTTTCCACTTTCATGGAAAATACAATGAAACAACAATGAGTTGAGATAACAGCTATATGCATGCACTGAAAAATAATGGAAGTGGAAAGAGCACAGAACACTTCTAAAAATTCTAGGAAGCTTGAGTCATGAGAATAAAACTTAAGGACTCAAGGGAAAAGCATAATCACAAACAAGATATATGACCCATTAGTTAATGCACTGAATGCAAATAAAGCACCCCAAGCTCAAGTACATACCTTTAGCATTAGTTGCACTACTTGTACCAAAATGCTGCATGTCAAGCAATCTGATTCTAGAGCTGACCTAAAAGAGGTAGTTAAGCCAACACTCAGCACTCAGCAGAAGGGAAGATATCAGCATTGAGACCATACACAGTACATGAAACGAAATGGAGCCCCGTAAAGAAGAATTAAACCGTATAAAACTAGAAACTTCATGCAAAAAATTTTCATCATTTCAATGGTCCATTTGTTAATTACCATTATGTGTCCCGCATCTCGTGATGAAAAATTATCATTTTAAAGAATATATTTAAATATCATACGTAGCATTTGATATCTCATGTTATAACTAAAAATATACTCCCTAATATATATATACACATAACAATGATGATGATGATGTCAAACAGTTTTTACTAATAAAATGTGAAAATAAGTAAGAAAAATTAAAAAAAAAACTCTGGAATGCCCAAATATGGAGAATGAGATATGGGGAGCTCCACTTTCTTCCCTCACCTCAAAATCCCTCCAATCCTCCGTCCAAACAAGGGCTACGATTAGCATTCATTTTTAAGATTAGCTTTCATTAATATTCCGATTATTGTAATTATCCTGATCACAATATCACATTCTACGTATTCATCAAATGAAATTTGCTCGGTGCATTCAGTACTAACAGGCCACACACTACTAATTGTTGAAATACAATGAAGACAGCAAACTAATAATAGAGCAATATAAAACCTCAGTTGAAACAAACAGATATTGAATTATTTCTCAAGAACACGGTTAAGACGAAAGAAAAAAAACTCACCTTGGGGGTTCTATTGAATTCAAACGGCGAAGAAAGAGTAGTGCAAACCGAGGACCATGAAGACCCAATTTTGACCGACATATCTTCTTCTTCTTCTCAAGAAAAGAATTTACCAATCTACCAGCACGACCGCGGTAGATGTTACTATATACTGAATCTAGGTTGCCTATGACTCCTATGAGGGATTTTCCGAACAGAAATTTATGGAGGAAAGAATTGAGAGAGTTGGAATATTGGGTTTGTGTGTGCTTTCACAAAAAGGTAAAAGAGTACTCTTCCCCGAATCCCCGAATGTGAATACTAGGAAGCGGTCTGCTTAAAAATCAGACCAGATGTTAACAAGTCAAATACACCATTAACCAAAAATTACCCTCACCATCATGAACAGTAGACACTCAGTTGGTATATTATACCCGGGTGCACGAGTGAAAACCGTACATCCAGATTTATTTGTAATTTTGTTTAAACCTTAGTCTAATTTCAATAAAATTTAATGGATCCAACAAAGGCCCACAAAAAGGCCCAATTCAGAAAGACAACTCATTTAACTGTACAACCTAATTTTTTTCGATGTCATTTTTGTAATTAAGCGAAAAATCACGGCATTCGCTGAATAGTGTAGTTTTAGTGAGCATCTGACATATTTTATTGAGTATTAGGAGGCTAACATTGAGCATCACGATCTCTGCTTCATATCTTCTAATTCAATTTTTTTCTTATTTTTTCTTTTATAAAAATTTATTAAATTATATCTCTAATACACTCCTATGAATTTTAATATGTGAATTTAATGTAACATGATACTTTTGAAATATGCATTGATATGACATTTTAAAATGAGCATTACATCAGTACCAAATCGTTATACGTGACTTACAAAATGTTCATTAATATGAAAATCGTAAAGTTGAAAGGTTACCATAATGTCATTTTCATTGGTCATCAAACCTTCCTATATTGAGATGAAAATCACGGTTTTTGTTAAATGAGCA